TATGGATCCTATTACACAAAAGCTGAAAATGGGAAGTCTAGTGGTACATTTACATAAAGTGAAAAAATATGAATACGCAGGTAGTCCAGACTTGTATGATATGATCTTTTTGAAGAATCCGCAAGATGTTGATAATGAAAAAACTCGTCAAGTATATTCCAAAATAATGAAAATAACGAATGCTCCATATAAACAATATCATCTGGAGAATGGTTTTAAAAACACAAATTCTAAAAAATTTCGTGAATTTATCAAACCTCTATTAGACTCACGACAATATCCAATAAGAAGTAGAAGTAAAATTGGTGGAACACTCAAACGAAAGAAAATGGAGAAAACCAGTGAATTATGTGTACTGGGATTCACCGAAAGAGTTAGTTGCTCGCCTACGACTATTGGTAGCTTCAAAGTCAGGTGGACATACTGGACATGACAATGAAATAATTTCAATATTTGGAGAATTACGTGAAGAAGGTATAATATATTGATATATCCACAAGTAATGATCACTATCATATCATCATTCAATGCAGTAACATTATCAACTTTTTCTTTAATCATTTTGAAATAGAATGACTAATGGAATAAGTGATGTCAAACGACAAGTTGTTAATGAATTACATAGACCTGCAAGACGTAATTTTCGTAGGAGAATAACCACCATTGAAGGTTTTGCAGATTTATGGCAAATAGATCTAGCTGAACTACAACCTTATGCAAAAAGTAATAAAGGATACCGATATATATTTGTAGTTATTGATTGTTAATCAAAATATTTGTGGACTGTAGTAGTTGAAGATAAAACTGACTAATGCAATGAAACATGTATTAAAGGGAGCCAAATTTTCCCCCAAACATATACAAAGCGATCAAGGAAAATATTTTTTCAATAGAAGCTTCTCATCTCTCATGCGAGAATATAATATCAATCATTATTCAACATTTAGCACAAAGAAGGCGGCTATAGCAGAAAGAGTGATTCGTACAATGAAGGCATGACTCTACAAGGAATTTTCGATGAGGTTTCACCACAAATGGCTCGATATTCTTCCAACTATAACTAGTAGATATGACAATAAAGTTCATCGTACAATAGGTATGGCACCTGTTAGATATTAAGTTATTTAGAACACTGGGTATATTTTAGATTGTAAAAAGTGTTAATATAAAAAGTATGTTTTTTTGTATAAGGCATCGTTTCCCGAGCCGCAGTGTGAAATAAAACAGCTTGAGATTGAGTTGGTTGTATTAATATTTTGGCCCTATTCAAATTAATAGTGATCTAAAACAGCACCCATCAATGTTGATTCAACAACAAAATTTAAATTCAAAGGTATCAAAGGAATTGGAGGAGAACAAAGTAAACCCAAATTCCAATTGAATGATATTGTACGTATAAACAAGTAAAAAAATATTTTTGAAAAGTTTTACACTGCGAACTTTACCACGGAGCTCTTCAAGATTGTTAAAATTGATAAAATCACCCCCACGACCTATAATCTTGAAGATATGAATGAACAACCTATTAGAGGATGTTTTTACGAAGAAGAGTTATTACGAACCAAAAATCCTGACGTATATCTGATTGAGAAGGTGTTGAAGAAAAGAAAAAATAAAGTATATGTAAAGTGGTTAGGCCTTCCTTGCGAACAAAATTCTTGGATTGATGAATCGAATTTGGTTTGAATGTATCTACTATTGTATTAATGAATAAAGTAATGTTGAAGTTCATTATTGTTTCCATTTCAATTATAAGTATGTGAATTGAAAAATATTGCAGCGGTTAACGTTGCCCCAGCCATTCGCAACGTTCTGTGTATACCAAACCTAATTAATTGTAAACCTCATTCCCGCTTATATTTTTCAACTCACGATATTGAAAACACATTATCATTCCCAAAACTAATCGCCGTCACTTTGGAATGCACTCTCCAACTCTTTTCGCCAATTATCTCTCACTGATAATGCCGTCTCATAAAGTTGAGTCGACTCCTCAAGCTCTGCCTGAGCTTGCATTCTCGAACTTTGATTGAATTGATCATCTTCAACAATTTTCGAACGGAATTTATCTGCATCTGTACACATTTTAGCCAATTCAACCTTCGCTAATGCAATCTCAGCATCTTATGCTTGAAGAGTTTCCTTATTATCATTAATAGCCCGCTCACTCTTTTTAAGTTCAGCAATAGCCATCTGCGCCTTTACAAGGCGGCATTTTGCTTTCTTTTTCATTTCTCCAATCCGATATAGAAGACTGAAAGAAGATAGCGATTCAGCTTTCAAATCACCGTTCATTTCTTCAGGTGAACCTTTTGGCTTCATCTTCGATCTGTCACTTTTCGTTGTGGATTTTTTTCTCTCGCACGACACTCTCTCGCACAATACTTCATCACTCGATGAAGATGCATTAGTAATCTTCCTCTTGATTGTTCTAGATTTCTTATCAACCCCAAGAGGAAGGGTAGATGAAGGATGTTTTGAGTGGTGATGATTGCGAAACGATTGGATTTTCAATAACAATTAGCTCATTTGGTTCCCGAACATGAGCAAAGTTAACGAAGTCGTTAATATCAAAATCATTTATCGAATCTTGACTCGATAAATGTAATACTGGAATATTTTCAAAATCATTTCTGATCGATATCAACAAGTGGTGAACCATCTTCAGCAATCATCAACGGCATAGAGCTCATGATAATGAATATTTAGGTCTGAGGAATGATATGTGATAGCAATAGAATGTGAATAGGAAAGGTGATGATGTTACTGATACTTCACCTTTTATAGAAGAAAATAAACTAGCGCATGCACTGTTTCATCATCTGGCGCATGCGCTCTTTCAGAAAACTGTTCACGCATGTAACGATCTTCGTCATTTAAGAGGAACACTCTGTGTTGCATGCATTTTAAAAATGAGAGAAAATAATACAAATGAATTCAAAATAATATATTTATTAATAACAAAGACAATAACGGTAATAAAAATCGAAAGTGTTGATGTGGAATGTTCTTTCACTCTCCTCCTCAATATTTGTTGTTCATGTGTCAGACACCAACATTGAAAACAATGAATTCTCCTATTTGGGTAGAGTTGACCAACCGTCTCACATGAATCCCAAGTACTTCAACATATAGTGCATACATGATTTCAGCAATTCATAGTAGAATATGTATAGAATATGTATCACAATGCCGCTGCCGTTGCAGCAGAGCTGGAACGGCTCACAGGTACCACAAATATTTCTACAAATACCTATATTATTCAATATTATAGGTTCGTAACACTTCAGGCACTGTAACTGTTGTTGACGATAATCAGATTTTGTTCACTTCGGTGGATGAGATGGAGGCGATAGTTGAATTCGCGACACACAATCACTACACATACCAGTACATGGATTAATTGATTCTTTAGGTCTACTTATTTGGCAAAAGTAGCACACAATAGCCCCTGCAATCATCATTGGGTAGACACACACTTTGGGTTTTTCATTCCACTCTTTTGGAAACGGCATTTCACTAATTCGAATAGAAATATCAAGAGATTACTTATAGAAACTCTGACTGCTCTCTCCTATACTGACATTCTCTATTTATACAAATTAACATCATGTGAAAGTATAGTGGGATAACTTCTCCTTCTCTTCCATTCAAAGCGAGTCAAGTGATAAGTGGGAGTGGTACCACCACCACTACCTATACAATTATATAAGTCAACTTGCGACCCTGAAGTTCATTCATTCACTCTGCAACTGTGAGAAAACATCAAGATGAATACTCAAAAAATAGTTGCTGCATTGAACAGAACATCTGCTATTGATGCAAATAATTGGATAGACGAGTCAGATGATGAGGATGCCAACATTCAGCTAGAGGAAGTGATAGTTGAAGAAGGTGTTGGAGTCGATGAAGAGGAGATTGACCTTGGAGTCAACGAAGTTGAAAATGAGGCTAATGATGGTGGATGGTGGATGGTGAAGGCGATGATGAAGGGATTATAGCTGATTCATCTGAAGGTGATGTTGCTTTGAGAATCGGTCTCCGAATGCTCAACATCACCGACATGCTAGAAGATCCCATGGATTTATATTGCGTGATGGACGCGCATGTGCAGATCCGAACGATTGATGGCAACATCAAAAAGTTATGTTGGTGTTGTTTTCGATTTTACTCGATACGGAACAATAACGGCGGCTGGTATCAACATGTAAACATCCATTATACGGTCTCTATGATGCAGCTGGGTCAGTATCGGTGTGAGGCATGTGAAAGACATTTCACAAATTTCACGAGAGTGTCAGCATGCATAATATGCAATAATGTCAAACCTGTGACAGAATAACCGTGGACCTATTGGTAAAAAAAAACAGCCCCTTTCAGGGCTAGATTATTCACACAAACAGTAGTATTCACAGATTATGTGACAAATGACTACTTTGACTAATAAAAGTCTAAGTTGGAAATTTGTTAGTCTTTGAATATCTATGCTTTATGTGACAGATTACTACTTTGACTGAAAAGTCGAAGTTGGGGATTTGCTAGTCAGTGAATATCTGTGCATATGATTGATTACTACTTTAACTGAAAGTTGAAGTTGGCAATTTGAATATATATGCATATAATGATGAGTACTACAGTGTGGGATGATGGTACTTTCACTTGCATTTTGTTTGAAACTATAATGTTAACCTAATATTAACAATGGTATGAACCTGTTTCTGTTTGAAAGTATAATGATAGCTCCGAAAAGAGCTGTTTATGTCTCAGTCTTCAAATGTAGCCCTGAAAAGGGCTACATTTGAAGAGCTACTAATGCTCCTCATCATCATCAGAAACAATAATGATGGTGTCGTCATCTGAATCATCTGAATCAGATGATATACTAATGATGTCGTCCTCATTATCATCTTGTTCTATACGTTCTGGGAAATCATCAGGAAGATCATAGATGCGTTGCAGAAATTGAGCGAAGGTTGTACTGAAATGACCGGACGTTGAATCTATTTCATGTACCTGGATGGGTCCTGTACTCGACATTGTGGAAGAATGATGTAGAACTGGGATTGATGCTATATTAATATTGGAAAAAATAAAATGGAGGGGAGAAGTGTAAATGTAGAACAATTCAGTGTTTGAAATTCGAAAACACCAAGAATGATGATCTTCATGAAACTCTGAGTGATTATTATGAGAAACTCTGGTGAGGGATGGTGGAGGGCTATCTTCGATGAGGATTGGGGATGGTTGAGGTTTATCCTCGAATTCCTCAGACTCATCGTCAGCGTCATCATCGTCATCACTGTCATCGTCATCATCTGTGCCTCCGGGTAGTGGGTCATCCCAATCGGGATCCCACCATCCGTCAGGATCCGGATATTTTCCATCCGATGGGTGCCCTTTATCGCTGCCGGTAACATGCTGCACCTGCATTCGAATATCATGATTCATGTGTTCATACACAATGCCGTGCGGTGCCGTCGTGGAGTGAACGATACGTACTTGGATGGAGGCGTAATAAGGTGACTAATGCTCTGGGACACTAAATGATTCAGTAGTTGAATCAGGTTCCATGTTGGAGGTGGCTGATCAACTGAATATTTCAACAGATAATTCCTACTTTTATACTTTTGAAAGGGATTGGGGGAGGAGTGGGAAGAAGAGGGGATTGAGTGGGAATGAATCGCAAAATGACATGAGCTACATTCAATGAAAGAGATAATTGAATGGATAAGATACAATATGAATTATAAGAAATTATACTTATTGATTTCATTGTGAAACTTGTCTTTACAAACTAATAAGGTAGAGGGAGGAAGACACTGCCCCAACTTCGCAGTGCCTCGTGTACACCAACCAAAAAGTTTGTACTCCGTGGAAGGAAAGGAAAGGAAAGAATGAGAGAAACGAGGAAACGATTACATATCGTTATCAGAATTGGGTTCATTCTCAATTCTGCGTAAGAAAGCCAGCCACCTCGACCACTGGGCAGCAGCTTCTGGATCAGTATCCATATTAGGATCCGGATACTCTATGTCCGACCTTTACCTATTGTCAGTGCTTGTAACATGAAGCACTTGAATTCGGAAATCAATGCTCCAAAACGTTGAAGGACCTCTATGTGGCTCTGTAGTGGAATCGACTTCCACGTCCACGTCCGAATCGTCATCGTCGTCGTTGTCACTCCTGTAGTCAGGAGCTCAAGGTTCTGACAGAGGTTCCAACTGCGGTCCGGTCGTGAAATCAGCTTCCTGAGTTGTTGACATGCTGGCGATAGCTACTCAACTGAATATTACATTGAGGAACTCCTACATTTATACTCTTCAAGTGGAGAGGGTGGTAGTGGCGGGTAGGTAGGGGTTATGCAATGTTGTATGTAAAAATGGATAATATGAAAAGTACTTATTGATTTCATTATGAAACATGTATTTTCTTTTTTAATTTTCTTCTCAAGAGATTATTTACAAGAGATTAGAGAACACAAAAATTGATGTGAGGTATTTTTCTAGAAGAACTTGGAATTGAAATAAAAAATAATAATAATAAGACGAAGTGAAGAAAAATGCTTCAACCATCGCATTGTTCAATGTGTACCAAACCAAAACAATGTACACCCTTTATTTCACTTCTTTTTTTATTTTCCTAAAATTACAAATATTAACTCAAAACTATCATAATTTATTAATCCTAATTTACCTAAAACTAATCTTTCATTTACAATTCATCTACAAAAAATGTTTCCAACATAGTCTTCAATTTTTTAAATCGCTCTATCGGAGAGGTCACTACTTTTCGCCTTTCCTCCAGAGATGTTTCTTTCCGATGTAGTTCGGCCAAATCTTTTGTCAGTTCGGCAATCTGTTTTTCTAGTTTGCTTCGTTGGCTAGCGATTTCCGACTGTTGGCAAAAAGTGCTAGCCAACTCGGCCACACTAGATCGGGAAGCAAGTTCAACTTCCCTGCACCTCTGTAGGAAAGGCTCCATCTCTTCCCTCACCTCTACAATAGGCTGTCGCACTTGTGGCACCAAAGCTTGGGGATTCACCGGTGTTGATGGCAGTGGTGAAAGCGGGGTCAATACAACGCACTCCGGAGAAGGCACCCTCGGTGTTTCCACTGCTGGTGCTGCTGCGGGCGACGTGGAGGGTATTAAGCTCTTACGAGCGGTCGGCCAACTACCTGCATAAGGATTAGTCTTATTGCAAGTAATTCGGTACTTTTCAATAAGACCAAGCCTCGCTGCAGGTCGTTGACAGACCTTCTTCACAACCCTGACTTCTTCCTCCTCCTCGAATAAGTCAGGGCTACCTCTCGAAGTGGCTGCCTTCTCCTGGTCTGTCACAGGCATGATGAATGCCACCGCATTGTTCAAATCCTGGGTGTTGGATGCCATTCTGAAAATGTAAAATAATACAAAGTAAGTTGATAAAAAAAAATAACATTGTTAACTTACTCAAAATTCCGGTTGTTGACTGGACTGCACTGGACAAGACTGCAGTGTTGACTCTATGACTTGAGCTGTCGTACTGAATGTTGAAGAGTGCTGCTCTCCTTGGGGTATAGGCATGTATGCGCGAGTGTTGGGAATGTGGCGGGGGCGCGCACGCGCAATGGGGGTGGGGGCGTGCATGCACGAGTGTGGGGAGTTGAGGGTGGGGCGGTGCCCTGAGTGTGGGGGCGGGGCTCTGAAGGTGGGTTGGTTCCCCTGCCCCCCTGTCCCCCCCCGTTGGTGTGTGGGGGGAAAGCGCGCGGCGTCCCGAAGTCCATACATACATACATTCAACATGTGTATCATATTTACGAGCCAAAGTTATCCGAGCCTCTGCAATTTTATCATCGAATGCTTGACGTGCATCGCGAGCAACATTATCAATTGTGAATTGTATTGCAGCTTGTAGGGCTAGAAGTATGACCTCTTTTGTTTCAATAATTTCCCCCTCAAGATATGATACAGTTACACAATCACTCTTGTATTGGTTCGCTTGTATTTTTCAATATTTTTCTTTGCATGTCATAATGACCATCTTTTGTTAATTCAAATCCATTCCCGGGAGGACCTCGAACGACATTACCACCCCATTTTCTTTTTCTACCAAACTTATCTATCGTTTTAGACATTGTGCACCCTACGATGATTCTTTTCAAACTGATATTTCTTTCATTTACATTATGCTATTTACTTTGCAGTAATTGGTTAGGAAAAATATAAGTAAAACATTTTTTTTAATCATTTTAATATTCATCAAAGTGACTTGACAAAAGTTATACTTCAATGTAAAAAAATTACAATGAAATAATCACAAATAATGAATGTTCCGGTTTGAAGTAAAAAGCAACAACACTCCGAATGATAATTCTATTCATCTCAACAGTCAACAAATTGATTAGTTGGTCTAAGGCGCTCTTTTGAGAAAAAGAATGAATGATTTCAGACACCCAACGAATGTTGTCATTAGGATCATTTCGATAAAACTCTATATCGCTATGACCCCATGAAATATAACTTTCGGATGTCAAAGTCCTTTTTTAAAAAATAATTTTATTAACAAAAATTGATGTTAACAGTATGAGAGCAAAATTATAACTGAATTACAAAAGTATTCTTCCCATGAAGATAAGAATTTTTTTTTAAATCCATTTTACCCAATTTTTTGGAGGAATTAGTATTGATAAGTTCACTTCGAAATATTAGACTTTCAGAGGATTTGATACAAGACATGTTACTGTATTTATAGTATCGTGAACTTATTACTGTATTCCTATGAACATATTATTTCATAAATTGTACTTATTCCATGCACAATTGCATTCATTGCCAAAATAATGTTTTCTTCGGATTCAACTTGAATTCTGAAATGAAATAATGCAATATTATTTCAACTTTTACAAAACTTGAAGAGAAAAGTGGATACTACTTGGTCCATTACCTGATATCATTTATATTGATGATACGGTTCGTAAAATTGAAATATTAATATAATGAAGAATAAACGAAAAAGCTTAAATACATTTACCTATCGAGTAAATTATAATGTAATGTAGTATGAACTGGATTAGATCATTTTCCTGAAATTTCACATCATGTTTAAAATCAAAGAAATATTGGAATGTGACTGGTGAAAAAGGGCATTCTGTATTTGGACTTGTACATATCAATGATAAGATTTTCATTTGGGAAATCTGGAAATAATTTCAATGGCACTCTAATAACCACTATAAACTTCAATATCTAACAACTTACCTTTCTTCATCATTTATTACTCCCTCTACTCTATTCAACAAAGCATGTTGCTTCTCTAACATGTCATGAAATCTTACTATAATTTTTGCTAAAACTTGCGTTTCTGAGAAATCCCTTTCTATATAAGGTTCTTCTGCACATATAACTCTTATTGCTAGTCCAGGACCAGGAAAAGGATGCCTCATTACTATCTCAGGCGATAAACCCAAATTTCTTCCAATAGATCTTACCTCATCTTTATGGAAGTCTTTAAGTGGCTCAACTATTCTCCCTGAAAATATTTTACATTGAAAACTGGTGCAGAAATGTTTTCTTCGGTTTGGTTGGTAACATCAATCTGAACAAATCTAAATTTAGTTTGAATACATTGTATATTACTGGAGTTTTTTCCCAACACCAACTGCATTGCAGTCCTTACATTCAATTTCGTAAATTCCAAACAAAAAGATCTATTGAAGTAAGATATAAGGAACACTTAGCACACTTAAAATATGGAAGACCTGAAAAATCAGCAGTCGCCCATCATATTTTGTAACAAAACCATTCCATAGACTTCAGTTCATTAAGATTAGTTAGACAAGTTAACAACAACAGGCAACTAGATGCCTATGAGAGTGTAGAAATTTTCGAACAAAACACAACTCAAATTTTATAATTTTAATGAATACGACGAGACTTTAATGTCATATCTTGCCCAGAAAATACCCGCATTGGCCTGTTACCACAAAAAGAAAAAAATACACCCCCAGACATTCGTCTTTGTTGTTGCAAAGTTTCATTGCTAAACTGATTCGGATTTTTAATGTATGGAAGTTAATATGTCAGTAATCCAATAAACGTATTTCTCTTCATTCTTATTACATTCGTTTTCCTTTTTTTAATTGATTTTAATCCAGTTTGATTATTTTTCTGACCAATAATTCAGTTACAAACTAATCTTGGCTGCCTCTCCTGTCTCTGTTATTCTACCTATATTATACAGAGGTAGGAGGTGCAGCACAGGTAATAGGGCCAAAACAGGTAGTCGAGCAAACACAGGTAGTGGCAGCAATCCAGGTAAATGGGAGCACCCATCCCTATAAATTAAGACACAGAGTTCAAACGAATTAATCATTAATCATTTGAAAAAGCTAATGTTTTAGCGAAACATGTTATGATTATTTTCAATAAAGTTAGTGGAGATCAAATCGTTTAAGTGTAGTTTGTGGAATTAGTCTAGTTGAAAAACTCCAGACATCACCAGAAGATGGCAAATGAGATGGCAAAGTTAAAATTCTCTACGAAAATCCATTATAAACCATACAAACTACTCATTATTCTAGAATTAGACTTTTTGAATTTTGTCATGATATATGAACTAATAGGTTTCGTGTTATTAGTAATAAAAAATAAAATTTCTTCTTGAGTATTTCAACAACAAAATAATATACTAGATGATTATGAACTGACTTTGGAACCTGAAATTATGTTTGCTGAAAACAGCTATCATCAGTTAATATAGTTTGTGAGTGTTATTTACCTTCTTCACGCAATTTTCTGATAAGCTCAGAGTCATTAAAATGAGTTTTAATGGTATCTGCTTTGGAAGATACCAACTTAGATGCAGACTCAATCAAGTCTGGCCTTAAGGTTCCTTGTCCCAGAAACACCTGCTCCTGGTTGAGATTAAGATCTGCAATAATTTCGTCGGTAATTTTAACAAACGTGTCTCCTATTATCTTTCTTTTCTCTTCGGGATTATAATTCATGCATAACGTTTTAGTTACTATAGTTCTCCTACTTCCTGATTTGTCAAGCGGGACTATTGTCGTGCCTTTAGAAAAGGTGGGAGCAGCATTTATCACTTTCAAATTGACGCCCATGTTCACTAAAGTGCTATGCACTTTAGAACTTTCATTTTTTCTCATGTACCCATTATCAATATGGATTGCTATAATTTGTTCAGGAGTTAAAGCCTTATGTAATAAAGCTGCACAAACTGTACTATCCACACCACCGCTGAGTAACAACAGAACTTTATTGTTATCAACAGTGTCTTTAATGTATTTTATACATTCTTTTTCTCTTTCTTGGATTGTGTAATTGCCGGTGAATCCAACTATGTCGAATAGAAAGTTTTTCAACATTATTTTTCCATTTGGAGTCAAATCTACTTCGGGGTGGAACTGAAGGCCATACAAATGCAGTTTTTCATTCCATATACCAGCACAAAATGATGAACTATGTGCTATTGATCGAAAACTATCTGCTATTTTATCTATTGAATCACCATGGGTTAATAACACATGCTGCATTTTATCTAGATCCCTGAAAAACAATACAATAATGAAATTCTAGAAATAGAAAAAAACACTCGGATTTCTGTGTAGACATCTGAATGAAATGACAGCCTATTCACGACAGATATTCATTAATTTTTGCTTATATAGTATTGAAAATATGTCATTATCCATTATCAGGAAGAAATATTGATACAGTCAGTAGTATATGTAGTGTTACTATCTTCATTCGGGTTTCAAGTCCGTCGTAGTTTGGAACTGCATCCTAACGTTTCGCCAGCATGAGTGATGACGAGTCATCCGTGAATCATCAAGATGAATAAACCTCTGAAGAAGCTAGTTTCTCATCTTTTTCTCGAACAGAATGGTAGTTTTAGGTTTGGCCGGAGAATGGAGAACTGAGCTTATAATCAACTGATTGAGCCCTAGGTTCACGGCACACTGCGCTATTGGAATTGTTACAACAGGGTTCTGTTCCGTATTTGAGTGAATGGTGTCATCTTCAAGGTTTTCGCGTTCTGGTAGGGGTTCATCTTCTATTTGTTCGATATTGGGTTGCAATGGTGAAGAAATGTCATTTCTCCCATTACCTGTGGAAGGTAATTCATTGTCTTCGTGTATTCTGGGTTCTGGTAGGGGTTCATCTCCTGTACGTTCGGTATCAGGTTGAACTTGCCCTCTTCCATATCGGAAGAGGGCAACGACTTACTGGGTTTCCTTGACCACTGAAAGTGACACTTTGATTTGTTAGACGTTGTGATTCGTCTAGTATGTCATCCAATTCCTCCCAAAAGGTTTTTGTGTCCTTAGTGTGGATTTCGACACGGGATGAAGCATCGGCGTTGGTGTTCAACTTGCCTTTTTTGTAGATTATGGTATAATCGTATTCCTCTAGTTTGATCCGCCATTTCAGCAATTTTGAGTTGGGGTCCTTCAGAGAGAATAACCACTGAAGGGGTTTGTGGTCAGTGACTTAATTGAACTTTCGTCCAAAGAAATATGGGCGGAAGTATTTGGTAGCCCATACGATCGCGAGAAGCTCTTTCTCAATGACTGAGTAATTTTGCTCAGAGTCGTTCAGGGTCCGAGATGCGTATGCAACTGGAAGGTCTTGGCCTATAGGGCCTTGAGAAAGGACAATTCCTAGGGCGAATTTACTTGCGTCCGTGGTGAGATTAAAAGGTTCAGAAAAGTCGGGGTACTGCAAAATCGGATCATTGATTAACAGGTTTTTGCAGGTATTGAAACATTCCAAAATCCAAAAACTCTTCATTATGTTCAATTTTTGCGCCTTTCTTCAGGCATTTGGTTAATGGTTTCGTTAGTCTAGCGAAATTATTGATAAAGCGTCGATAGTAACCTAACAAACCCAAGAATCCTTTGATTTGTTTGGTGGTTTTTGGGACGGGGAAATTTCTGATGGCTGTGATTTTATCTGGATTCGGCTTGACACCTTCGGGAGTCACGCCGTGTCCCAGATAGGCTACTTCCTTTCGTAGGAATTCCGATTTATCCAGCTGAATTTTGAAGTTTGAGCTTCTCAGCCTGTTGAAGACAGATTTAAGGCTCTCAAAGTGTTCTTGGAGGGAAGTCGAGAAGATAATAATATCGTCGAGGTATACCAATGGCGAGGTATTTTCATAATAAAATATGTCAGAGAATTCTTTGCACAGCGAAAGTATTTTAGATCTTTCCTCGTCATTCAAATGGTCACATCGAATTTTTGAAAAATCTAAATTTTGCTTAGGGTAATTATCAAAATTATGAAAATCGATTTTTTGAATTTCGTTCTCATCAAATTTCTCAACAGTGATTGGTTCTGAAAAATTCAGGGTTACTGGTTTGGTGGTGTTGTTCAAGATAGTAGTGAGAGCTCTACCTTTATTTGCAACAGTAAGACACTCTGGCAATTCACAATTATGGAAGCGTTGGTGAGGTATTATTATTTCACCATTCTGAATTGATGTTTTGACCTGTATCACTTGCTCAGATCTTGGAGCAATCGTAATTAAATTGAGATTGCTTTTTGTTTTTTGGAACTTCAGTTTTATTTTCGCATAAGGAGTGATAAGATAGCCATTACCAAAATCTAGGTTAGCTTGTGAAAGTTTTAAATTGTCAAGACCAATTAATCCTTTGCAAATGTCATGAAATTTGAAAAGGAAAAATTTTAAATGTTTTTGTTGTGGCAAATTGAATAATTTTGAAGCGGGCATAGATGCGCAATATTTATGAGCTGATTTTTGGAAAACTATGGAAACAATAAACGGGTCGTATTTAATTAGATTTGGAAACAGTTTTTGAACAATTTCTGGATCTATAAAAGATTTCGTGGAGCCTGAATCAATGAGAAATTTTGCGTCATATTCCGGAAATGTTATATATGATAATTCGCTAGAACTAGAATTATTGAAAGAAATGATTTGCGGAACTAGGTTTGATTGTTCGTGGTTGGCATTTCCTGAAAATTTACCTCGGAATTGTCAAAGTTACTTTCCTGATTTTCATTTTCGCAGTATAGAAATTCGTCATAATGTTCGTTATAATCTTCTTCAGCGTAATATTCATGTTCGCTATAATTTGGTTCATTTTGAGTGTCACTAACTACCGTATTAAATAATTCCTCTGATATAAAATTTCTTTGGGGTTGGTTTTGAAATGAGTTTGAGGGACCTGATCGATAATTAGGGGCGTTTCTTGTCGGAACACTCATTGGTACTGGTTTATTTGTTTGATATGTATTTCTGGTGGATACACTCATGGGTGTAGGTTTTGTGGAGTTCTGATTTTGATTGGGCCTGAAAACATTTCTGTTTTGAAATGGTTGTCTGAAAACTTGCGCGTTGGTAAAGAATTTTTGGGGTTGGCTTGGTGCTCGTGGCTGAATTGGTATTGGTTGTGAAGGAAATTGATTTTGCTGTCTGAAAAAGTTATTTGGTGTACTATAATTATTGACAGGAGAAGAATTTGGCTGTCTGATCTGAATTGGTGTTCTAGAAGGTTGTTTGATTTAGAAGTATTCTTATTTGAGGAATTTTGGGAGTAATGTACATTGTCTTCCTGTAAAACAAACTGCAATGCTTCACTGAGAGATTTGGGTTGCATACAACGTATTGTAGTACCCAAGGGTTCCTTGAGCCCAGAAAGAAAGGTTTTCAATGCCGAAGAGTTCGAGTGGTATTCGGAATGATGAATCTTTTGTCATCGTGATATGATAATTCGACTTTAATTTTCAATTCAGTGTAAATATCATGTGATACGCTTCTGAATGAGTTCATCTTCCTGAATATCATACCTCCTTCTTCGATGATTTTTTCATAGTCTTCACATGTCAATTCATTCTTTATAACAGATCGTTTGACGCCTTTGGCCTTCTTCAGTTCATCATCAACAGATTTCACATAATACGCTTTAGCACCTGTACCGTAAAAGCTGATTATTGGATCATTTGGGAATTCATCCTTGAAATTACCCAGAACTGACTTTGTCACTGGAACATTGAATTGGTTTCCCATTTTATAATTAGATGTATCTAAATTATTTATATTATTTTTGATAAATTCATAGGAATTGTCTGTATTTACTTTGAGAATAAGGGAGTCGGTATCAGTGTAGAGTAAGGACGCATAGAAAAAATCATACATAACTGTTTTGGATAATTCCAGAATGGAAAATCCCAAATACAATGGTTTATCATAATGAACTTTTACTCTAGCCAATTGGATAGCAAAAAAATTTTCAGTAAAAATTAGGCTTTTTTTAAAATTTGGTCGCGATATGAGACAACTAGCACTTATAGTTCTATTTATATTTTCTCAATGTGTAATGAGTACAACATCAATTCTATCGTCTAGGTTTTCCATTGTTCTTCCATAGACTGCATTATTCATTAGTTTGTAGAAATCTTTTTCAGATTTGTTATTAGACCGATTATGCATTCCAGTATTCAAATCTATATAGGGCTTCATCCAACATGATTGCTTGAACCTCAATACTCTAAGTGTGTTCATCACTATCAAGCCATGATTGACAGCTTGCTGTTCTATAGTGAACAATATATTTTTTTTATCGTTCGAATTTGGAATTAATTTGTGAACTTTCGATTTTGCATATGGAGGTATCAAACGTTCAACTAAGAATGGAAAATGGAAATGTTCATCTGAAGTTCTTGGGGATAATGTATATCCACTTCCAATACATATCCATAACGACTATCAACATCCACATCTATTATATCAAGATTGAGAATTTCATGGGGTGTTAACCATGAAAATTCACCTGTTGGTAATGATTGTGACATGCTGTGACCATAGAGATTGCATCCAAATATGAAATGAATGAAGATGGTTCATTTGGATTATAATTCGGTAAAAATACATTGTTTGCTTTATGTTTTCTTTCAATACATTGACTGATTTCACCACGAATACCTTTTTGTAAGAAGTGAACCATATCAATATCAGTTAATAATTCCAATTCAATATTAGTATATTTCAACATGGCATCCCATGATGATCCTGGTGCGGTGAAGTATTGTGCCGGATCCAATTTATATTCATCAACAGATATATTTCAAAAAGTTTTCAAAAATGTCACATTAAATATAAATCAGAGTATTCACCTGAATTCTGACATTCGAACGACTTCCAAACAAGTTGAGCTCTCCCATAATCATTATCTGATATATGTTCACAATTGAGTTTATCATAAAATTGATTTTTGGTTGGAATTCTTGGATGATTCAGTTTGTCGATGTCATCAACAAAACTATAGGGAAATACACCTTTCTTTCTCATTGAATTGAAATTTTCAATTCGTGGAAAATGTTTGCGCATCTCGATACACTGATCAGATGTTGAATTGGCTCCTGAATTCTCCAAAGAACTAGACATGAATCTGAAACTATCAATGAATCTCATTTTCAAATAATTCTTCTTCACCCAACCATCTTCCGTATAGGAAAGTGTATAGAGATGTTTTGTGAAAGATATATATTTTTCATTAGTTTGTGGGATGACATCCACTTTATCTTTGTTTTTATACAATTCCTTCATGAATAAGTGACAATCATATCCACTCAGATTGTGAAAAATTATAGGAATGAAATCTAGTAATTTGAAATTCAAATTACATGCTGAATGAGCACCAGGGGACATTTTTTTCCCTGTGAGATAACAATGATCTCTCACTTTAATTTCACCATCATTGAATTGTTTAGAACAAATGCCACAATTTGTATCAGAAGCAAACTGTTCCTCTTCCTCAGGAGTTTGTGTATCCATAGGAATAGGAAACCTGGGATGATTTTCATAAATATTTTTCATCATCGTCACACCCCTATACGATACAAATTTTAACAAATCATCATTGTATGAACATTTAATCAAATAAGCAAATGAATAAGGCTCATGTTTGAATGTCTTGATCGAGTACGAGTATTCAGGATTTGGCTTAGTGGTTTGAATCGGCTTGAGTACTGATTCAGAATCAGCATACACTACAAAAGGTACCTTCATTTGTTTCTCGAAGTTTTCAACCGTTAGTATATTTTCAGGTACCATTTTCCCATATTTATCAACTTTGAAATTGGTTGATGGTGTTGTAGTACTCAAGTGATTACAATCATTTATCTTATGACGTTATAGTAATTGCTCATTAGAAAAATATAATAAACATCCATCACAAAAATATTTCTCATGTTCATGAGCCGATAATTGGCTTGAAACTAATCTTGAAAGATCTTTGATCCAACAATAATGACTATTACCGAAATCATAAGTGATAAATACCAAATTGACATGTCTCCTAAATCTTCTCTGAGAGTAACGTAATGGTCCTTCTCGAATTTACTTTCTGAACCGTACACATTAACTGAAATATTATTCTTGTCCTCAAATTTCACAATTTCCTTCAAATTTACCGGAAAATTCATACTTGTTACATCTATGACAGTATTGAAATGTGGATATGATGAAACTTCTGACGTTCTGTCGATTGCAAGATGTAGTGCTGAAGTGATAGCCCATGCAAAACAATGCTTCTTTACGGACATTAACCACGGCCTTCTTACGCTCGATACATTCAGGTAGCTTCAAATATGAACATCCACTGAGCGGGCTGTATTTATTGATGTTCACCACCAGAAACATGATTTTTTCACAAGTCCAACCTCAAATACAAATTAAAATTACTGATACATCCAATTAAAACTCGATAGAAATGCTTACCTGAATCACGTTTCTGGAATTCTGTAGTTTGAGCGATAATTCCATTTCGAAATCCATCAAATAAGGAATTCAAATCAGTAGATTGGTCAACTGTTCTATTCTGTGAGTTGAATGATTTGATTTCCTTCAGGTCTCGCGTTTGCAGAATATAACTCCCAAATACTTCCATATTCACTTTGATGATTTTGTGAAACCTGATGGCTGATTTCAATAATTCAATAACTTTCTGCCTGATTTCGTTAAAAAATAACATGTAATCGGTGGAAACAATGGAACTCTGCACCCAGTATGTAGCAATCCGACGCTTGAAGGCACTCTCCATAATTTGAACACCATCACTGAATTGTACACATGCATTATTCTTATGTTGGAGACTTCTATTGTGAGAATTCACTTGAATCAACGGAATCATCACATTACAACAATTACATGTCTACGTAGGTGTTGCAGCGTCTAATCTCACTCGTTTCACTGATGGACCTCCTTGGGCAACTCTGAAGCTGATGACGACGAAGGTTGTCACTACGAGTTAAAGATTTACCACATTCACAAGGATACATTTTCTGTGATATATTCTCACTAACCCACTCGATGAAAACTGACATAACCAACATTCGCCCGCTTCTTAAATAGCACAGTCCCCGCCGCCTGCGCGTCACCATCGAGAGTGAGGGTAGAGTCATGCTTTACGTCACAGCCATCACCACATCGAGAGAGGTAAGAGCACATCGATGAATACGCATTACTCAACCACACGGCACGGAGTGCACATCTAGATCTCCTACCGTTTAACGGTTGCTGCTGGGGTAGAGCGATGCGTTAGGTCACAGCCTTCAGTGCATCGAAAGAGGTGAGGGCAGACCGATGAATACGCATTACTCAGCCACACGTCGTGGAGTGAACATCTTGCTCTCTTACCGTTGAACGGTTGCTGCTGCTGTGACGTCACACCACTACTAACTTGGTGGGCTCACACCGATGGAACATTCATTACTTGGAGGATCTTCGGAGTATGCAGACGTATGTTTGTACATAGACAAGCACATGATGAAATCCTATACCGTGCATTCTCTCTCTCTCTCACACACACTCACAAAATCTCATATAAAAAAAATCTGAACGATCCATGCACCAGACACTTCGAAGTCACATCGCCTTGACTCCACTAAACAACAACAAAAAGCAATTAATACGTCATAGTAGTGAAGGGAGACTTAGAACCGGAAAAAAAATTCTGAACGATCTTCAAGGTCACATCGCCTTGACTTCACTAAACAATAACAAAAAAAAGTGGTGGGGGGAGGCTTACAACCGGGTCAAATGTCCTACTTCCATTTTGAGCCTATCTGAGGAAAATGTCACAGCACCACATTCTCAGATTATCCAGATAGTGTGAAGCAGTGTATGAAAAATTATCGATAGCGGCATCTATTATAACTGAGGAAGATTATTCGTAAAACTGATTCTGGTTTCTGAACATCCAAATTCTATTCCAACCAGAAGTGAGAGCTCTCGATTGATGAGCAAAAACTGCAAAAAATGGAAAAAATCTATATTCAAAGGTTCACATCTCGAAAACTATACAATTCTGAGCTTTGGCTGTGGACACTTCCAATCAGCACATCAAGAACTATAACATATCGAAATTTCGGCAAAATCCAAGGCAAGCCATTTCTCATAAAAAATGTGCGGGGTCCTCCATAAAAAAAATTTGGGAAAAATTTTACCATCCGAAACAAAATCAATCTTCATACTTATTGCAACACCGAAACAACTGTTAAACTTTTAAAGAAAAAATCGCACTCGGTGAACAGGTAGAATTAAGATTATTTTACATACTTGCTGAATTGTTGTCTGAAATCATTTGAAAACGTTGAATAACATTAGTTTCATTGAATCATGCGGTGCCCTGAAATCACCATGGAAAACAGTTGCTCATTGATATTTACTGTAAACCTGACAATATTGTTGAAAGATCTTGTTGTATTAACCCCCAAACCACTTTTCGTTGCATTTTTTGTTTCTAGTATTGTTGTTCTTTGAATCACCGTTGTTCCTGTTGTTTCTGCCGTGTTTTTTCCCATTGTATTTATTGTTTCTGTATTTGTGTTGGATATTGTTCCTATGTTCCAGTTGTTTTCTGTTCGTGAGTTCCTGTTTATATTTCAATATTTCTGAAGTTTCCATTTTAACTGATATCAGCTCATTTCGATTGACAAAGTTCAACATGGCACGTCTGTCACTTCAAGCAAAAATTGAAATT